TTGTCTACAGGCTCAGTCACCAGGAGGACAGCTGAGGTCTGGACTATAGATTGATACTTTATTGATCCCATGAGGGAAATTGCAGAATCTATACTGCCAGGACTCAGTGGAGTGAGAGGTGTGATTTTTAATCAGTACACACAGCACATCAGGAAGCCATAGTGCAGAACCACAGATGAACTGGGTCTGGTGAGCACAATGTCTGAAGCGCAATCCTCTCTCATAACCCTGCAGAACTGATACCCCGTATCCCGAGCTCCCAGGAGTCCTTGCTGTCGAGGGGGTGCAGCTCCCCTGAGAGTCCCTCAGCCAGAACTGCTGGTCCCACACCTCCCTCCCCCACATCAGGATCACGGACACTCAGGGGAACCCTGGCACAGTGGCTGTGGGTCCTCTCCAGCCTCCTACGATCTCACCCCGAGTCAGGAGAGAGGCACAGTCGAAGCTCACGGAGAGACCTGTGTCTCGCTCCCTGCGTGCTCTGGGTCAGAGTCATCTCCCCATCCTTGAGGCTCCAGTGAAAAGCGGTCAATTTGGGACTTTGCCTTTACACAGAGAACTGTGGGTGTCTGGATCAAACAACGCAGCCACACTGCAGATGAAACAGCAGCTTCACATTCACGGCTGCAAAATTCCCAAAACAATCAGAGCACAGCCTCCTTGCTTACTGACATTACTGGTCAGTGGCAACAAGTTATGCAGAGAACGTTATGCGTCTCTGTAACGCCTAAATGAAAGCGTTCATTTCCCTGTGTGCACATGTACAGCTGAAAGCCCGTACCCCTGTGCTGCTTGCAGGGACCCCAGATCTTTGGCTTGGCCACCGAGCCCATTAGCGAGGGCACTATACCAGTCAGCGCCTGACTGTTTCAGACACCCACACCCCTGTGTGTGAAGAAGCGCCTGCTTTTCTCTGTTTTCAGTACATTCCCCGACGGTTTCATTACTAAACTACATTTTGCATTTTGTGACTGAAGCATGAAAATTAAGATCACCTGCTGTTCTACGCACAACCTACGGCTTTGATACAGCAGCGTGCTGCTCGGGGCTCGGACTGTCACCTCATGATCTGTTCTGCCGTTAGCTTGAGCAAAGTACAAGTATAACCCTCCCACCAACCCAAACCTAACCAGCAGATTCAGCCGATATTCTCCTGTCGACCAGAGCTTTAATTACACGTTTTGTGATTGCAGACAGCGAGCTCATACAGCAACAGGGCGCTTTACGTCAGAAGGAAGTTACAACCACGTTATCGGCGAGCACCACGTGTTACTCGAGTGCCGGCGGCTGTCTGTCTCTCAGTTTAACGCGTCTGGGGCGGAAGACCGGTGCCGTTACTGCGACTTCCCACTGCGTGTTGACAGCTGAGCTGGTCACCTCACCGACCGACCGCAAAAGGTCCCAAACGGCACAGTTTTAAACGCCACCCCGACCCGCAGCCTCTCAGTAACTCCCCACTTCCACGCACCAACGTGACGCGACCCACAGCCGCGACCCTGCTGGAAAACTCCCGTGTGTCCGGGACAGATCCACCTGGGGTCAGACACCTGCGCATTGCCTTGATACAGAGGTCTGACCTAGAGGCTGCTGTGCGCTCAGGGTTTCGCTGAACACGCTTTCCCGTCTCATCCTACCGGCTGAACGGGGCTTTTTTATTCAAACTGAAGTCCCGCCACCCTGCATACCTGTCAGCCACAGGGACGGGCCGCGTACCTGCCCCCCTCCCCACGCCTTAGGAGTTGTATCACCTCCCTTAAACGCCCTTACTCTTTTTTTATTTTTACCTTTAAAGTATTTATTCGCCTTCTCCTTGAGCTCCTCGGCGCTCCGCTCCGCCTCCGCCATCTTCCTACTGCCGCTATCCGTTGCGTCCGCCATTGCCGCCAGGCTACGGTCGCAAAGATTTCCCAGCTTTTGTGTTTCGCTCGCCCGAGCTCACGTCAACCGCACTGCCGCAAACTGCCGGGCAACGGGCGCCATTTTGGCTCAAAGGCGGGGCGCGGCTGGCTTCGCAAAGTATGCGCATCTCGGAGCCGTAATGGAGGACAGAAGGTTTCAGTTTCCTTTGGACTGAGAAGGGAAACGTCTGTCATCCATATGTAATCGCCCCGACGTCATAGTGTCTGGAAAGGAGTGGAAGGTTCTTTTTCTTACGTGCGTGTGTTCGTATTCTAGCTGATAAACAATTTTAGATTTTAACTGTTTTAATACTGAAACCGAAGGCTTGTGTCAGTTCCTGTTTTTTCAAGAGCTTCAGACACATTAGCATCACGCTGTACACGTTTTGTTACTTTTATTCTTTCAAGAAAAGTATCGGCTTCCAGATTCCCACAACCAGTGACCCGTTATAAAATCATCACTGTATTGTTTCCACTTTTTAGTGAATCTATAAGCTCATCACAAGATGAGAAGAGTGCTGTGGAAGACTAAATTTACATTTTTAAAACAACTCAACAGAGTCTCTGTAAATGGATTTGGGCTTTAAATTCCACAGAAGCTGTACGGCACACCAGATGCTCTACGGAGTTTCTGAAATTTTATCTTTAGCAGGAGAAAGCC